GGGCTCTGGACTCTGTCACGTACTAGCTGGAACTAACTGAGCAAGCGACTCAGCCTTAGTAAACCTAATGATACTTTGCTGAGTTATTGTGAGGATTTCAGGAGATAACTTATTTGAAGGATCCAGCTCAGTGCCAGGCTTAATAAATCTTAGCTCCCTTCTCCCATCAGAGTGGCCTGGAGCTCTTATCCACATTTCCCAGCAGTTAGCTCGGTAATATAATCAGCAACATTAGTATATCTAAAAGGCAATTGCCGTTTAATTGCTCTGGCCCCAGCCAGCCTGAAGTTTCTCTCCATTTGCTTCTAATTTGGGATTAAGATTTTTAAATCCTACCCTGGCTGGTCACAAAATCATTGCCTTGGAGAGAATTGAAAATAGCTGTAGGCAGCCATTGATTATACAATAAAAGGTTTGGTAATTCCTTCCCTTTTGTTCTGTATAAAAATGTATCTATCAGTTTGCTCCTGGCCAGTGAACTAATCAGTTTCAAGTGACATTTTTCTGAGAGTCAGTGAAGGATCCTTTTTGGTCAGATCAGCTCCGGTCTCAAGAAGGCAAGCGTGCCTTCAGATGCTCACACTGATCTTTATTAAAATAAATTAATGCCCTTGTATAGATTCAGACTCAGAATCAAGTTTCAAGCATCCTTTCTTAGAAGACATTTATTTATATTACATACTCAATTTAAAGGAGCAAATGCCCTTCCCTCAGCCTGCAAAGTTTGTTTATCTTAGAGCTACTGTGAGAATATAATGCCCAAATGAAGGCAGTGTGTTTTATTTCTCCTCCTCTGACTCAATGTCGCATAAAATAACAGCAGCCTCTAATCAAGAGGAACCCCATGTACTTTGAGATTTCCAATCAAAATCTTTAATATTCGAAGGGCACATGTGCATTTGAGGAAACCTAGATTGCCGTAGGCCACACGGAAAGCATTTACATCTGAATCGCTTTACATATGATTGTGAGTTACAGCAAATTCTAAATAACTTTTAGCAGTTTGAGATTTGGAAAACAGCCTGGCCCATATAAATTCTCCCTTAATTCTTTTTCTGTTAAATCTTATGCCAAAGTAAATGGAAGCTGTAGGGAACCTTTGAACTCAGTTCTCAAAGGACTGCAGTGAAGTTAGATTGGCAGAGCCAACGTTAGCTTTTCAAAGGAAGATTTTCTTTTGGTTCCCCCTTGAAGTGTCCACATCACAGTCACCTTCCTTGGTGAAGGATGCAGTCTTGCTTCCCGGACCATATATGTGCCTCTGAGAAATGGGCTTTCTACTGTAAGGAGCTTCTCAGTGGGACTCTTCAGGACCCTTAGGGTTGGCATCCAGGCTTCTTAGCTCCTTTGCTTCACCGTCAGCTGCGCTTTTCCCTTTGTCTTTCCAAAAGAGCTATTGAGTGCAAGAGCCTTGGGGTTCAATGCTACCTCTTCCTGCCAGTAGCTTCACTTTTCCAAGCTTCACTTTCCTTTTCTGTTAACTGGAGATTAAAATTAGAGTGGTATATTTCAAAAGAGCTAGAAAAGAAAAATTGTAATGTTCCCAACAGTAAGAAAAATTAAATGTTCGAGTTGATGGATAGCCCAGTTACCCTGAATTGATCATTACACATAGTACACAGGTATCAAAATATTATATGCCCCCCAAATATGTACAACTGTTATATATCAACAAAAAAATCTGTATCCTCAAAAAAATAGTATGGCCCACATGGATCCCACAGTTCTCTGAACATTTTGCTCTTATACTCACAGCTTGCAGTTCATTACATTGCATTATTTATTTTTATTGATATTAATGATTATTAAAATATAAATATATTTTATATTCATTGTATTATATATGTATGAATGTAATAATATGTATGAATGTAATATAATGTACTATATATGACATATATTGTACTGCCTCTAGAAGGCTGGGACAATGGCTTATGCCCTGTGTACCATTCTTAGAGTCCAGGCCATGCTGAGCACACAACTGCTTCTTAATAAATAACTCATTGAATGCACTTTTATGAAGGTACCTCTTTATCCTTCTGTATCATAATTATCGACAGAAAGTATTATTCATCAGTCAAGCAAACATGCAAAAAAATTAACTTTGTTCCCCTCATATGTGCTGTTTCTCTAGTCTAGATACAACCCTGAAGGAAAAAATGGCACTTATTTTTTGCCCTTTTTATCCTAATTCAAAGGAACATATTACATGTTTGCTAATTGTTTGCAAAAAAAAGTTTATATCAGCTTTTTTTGGTTTTGCAAAACATGTTTTTGTAATTAGTCCTCATATCATGCAAATAGAGTCAGCATTATTTGGCATAAATTGTTACTATTTACGTAAATTTGAAAAATAGTATCACTTAGACAGTTTCTCAGTTTATCATGCCAAAATTGAATCTCAAACTAAAGTGGGCTATATGCTACCCACTGTTTAGAGTTTTCCCTGCTCTACAGAGTTACTTCAGGCTTAGGGCTGGGCCTGGTGGCTTATGCCTATAATCCTTGTGCCTTGGGAGGCTGAGGCAGGAGGATTACCTGAGACTAGAAGTTTGAGACCAGCCTGAGCAACATAGTGAAACCCTGTCTCTACAAAAAAAAATTAAAAATTGGCTGAACATGATGATATGCTCCTGTAGTCTTGGTGACTTGGGAGGCTGAAGCGAGAGGATCACTTGAGCCCAGGAGTTCAGGATTGCTGTCAACTCTGATCAGATTTCCATTATCCAAACTTGGTACCAGACCAAGACCTTATCTCCAAAAAAAAAAAAAAAATTACTTCATTCAGGTGGTCATGGTGCCTCTGCTTACACACTGCCAGTTACAGGGGCTCACTACTGCTGGAAACAGCCTTTTTCCATTTCAAGCAAATCATCTTGAGCTGGTGTACAGAATGCTTGGAGATCTTTATGAAGTATAGAGGTGTAAATGACCATATGTATTACTGTCTTTGAAAGAGAAGGGAGAAGACAAATTGCCATTCAAAAACCTGCATGACTTGTATGTTATAAACACAAAGAAATTTTTCTTATTGTGTTCTTTGTTGGGTGTACCAATTGTAAATCATTAAAGGAAGACTGAGAAAAGTCAACAGAAATCTGCATTCTGACATATGTGGAAAGGCAGTGACTGAGAACCAGTGGTTTTGGAATCAGTCCTACCTGGCTTTGATTCCTATCACCATTAGTAGCTTTGAGCAATCTGCTTTACTGTCTGGTCTTCTATTTCCTCATCCGTGAAATGAGGGTAATATTAAGGATTAAATCAGATTAAAATTGTAAAGCAAAACACCAACACAGTGTCTGGCTCAGATGGTGTTGAATAAATAATAGCCAGCATTATTACTGCGTTATTTTTATTATGAGAACCAAAAGGGTTCCTATTTGACCGATAATGGATGTTTCTTAAAGAAGAAAACTGTATGAGGACTCTGAGTTGACTATCATAGTAGCCAATTAGGTGAAAGGGGGTTAACAGAAACAGTCAGCCCCCAGTCGCCACCTCCCCACAGTGGGGTTGTGTGGCCCAGTTGTTCTGTCTACTTTCACACCCATGAACCTCTTATCTAACATGCAGCTCTAGGAGTTTCTCATACCCTTACTGAAAGGGCTGAGCAATACCAAATACTGATCATATCTTTATCAGCTAATTTCTTATTCTAATCTATATTTTTTGCTCAGGTCAATATTGTGTTTCTAAAACAGTTCTCCAAAAAAAAAAAAAAAAAAAAAAAAAAAAAAAAAAAAAAAAAAAAAAAAAAACGTGATTTGCAGCATTTGGCAATTTCCATGGTGTAAATACTTCCAGCATGACGAATTGTAAGCTCTCAACATAAAGTCACTGAACAGAGTTTGGAAGAGATGTGCACAGTTGTTCAAGTTGTTACCACTCCATCACACCACTGGGGCTTGCTAAGGCTTATGTGTTGATAGCGTAAGACAGAATAATTGACAACAGCAAAACCTACAAGCCAATGCAATAGAGGAAAAGTAGTTTGTCCTAGAGTGGATCACTATAATATACTTGACACACATGATTCATCCAAAAAGTGAGTTAATGCCAGATTACTCGAGCAAAGTATTTCAGTGCTGTCTTTCTGTCCTTATTCTGTACTCTCCAGTTATACTTAGAAGATAAATCTTTCCCTAGCCTCCTGGGCTATAGGAAGGAAAGTCTCCCTAATCACTTCTCAGCTGTTTGAATGTTTCCTTAACTGATAGTTTAGATATTTGCTCGTGGACATAATCCCCATGTTTATAAAAACATCTTCCTTTTCTCCCTCCTCTTTCCCTTCTTCCCTCCCTCCCTTCTTCTTTCCTTTTTTATAACCATCCTTACTTCCTTCCGAAGTATTTTCTACCGTCTTTTGTATTCCTAACATCCCTACAAGATCATCAGAACAGTTAATAGTACTTCTGCTTTGCAAAAATGGTAGAGAAACTAGAAAATCATTCTAATTATGTAAATCTCTACCATGTTATTACTTTCATTTTTAATTTGTCATTTTGTTATTTTGAAATATTTATTGTTATTCAGACATCCCTTACTTTTTCCTCTGTGAGTGGAGTGATGTACTTTCAACCTCTGACTTCTTTTCTTTTGTGTCATAAATTTAATTTTATTCTCTCCCTCACAGTTTTTGAAAACTGTATTATACTTTATCTAGGAAGTTGTATTACAGTATTATAAATACATTTCTGAGAACCTTTAATTAAGTGATGATACCTAGCACTTTCTCATCATAGTTAAGTCCCTGGAGATGACAAAACAGAATCCTTTTGGGAAGCAGATCTTGTTTTCAACATCTCGTCACTGGAGCAAGCAGAATTCTGTTAGAGACTTTGAACTGTTAGGGTGATATCAGTTGATGATTTTGTCAACATAGTGGATTTATTCTAAAATCCAGGTTTTCCCACTAGAGACCTCTTAAAATTTTTCCAAAAGCCTAATGACAAACAAAAGAAAAAAAGACGTTTGAGATAACCAATTCGGCATCTGCCATGAAGCCCTCTGCAGACGTGCTTGAGATCATCACTTGCACCATCCTCATCTTTGTTAGCATCGTTGGAAACACTTGTCTGTTTTATTCTACGAGAAGATGTATCACTGGGCATTTACAGACATCCTTTCTTCTAGTTTTCAATCTTATATTTGTCCACCTTATTAAAAACTTGGTGGTGAATGTAATGAAAATTGTTTACTCTTCTGGTATCATGTTGGATTCAGCTGGCTGCAAAGTTCTGCTCTTCACATCGGCCCTAACAACTTCACTGACCATCTGGTTCCTGTTATATTTTTCATTGCTTTACCACTGGAAGCTTTACCAAATTGCCCACCCCTTAAGTGAGAATCCAAGCCTGGACCAACAGAAGCATTCCTTGAAGGTGGTTTCTGTACTTTGGGTGGCTGGTGTGGTGGTATACGTCCCAGTTTTAATTCATACTAGAAAACCAGAATTCTTGAATGCGGGAAATGATACAGATTCTTTGTCTACTAACAGAATGTACATGGATTGCCCAATTGTCTTTCAAAATAAGCAGGTAGAGTTTTTCTATGGTAAAATTGTTTTGGTTCTGATTGATATTCTTCCTTTAGCTATTTTAGTCTTTGTCTGTTTCTGGATGTCTTTCCTCCTTTCAGAGAGAAAAAAGATGACATATGGTGACATCTGGATTGGAGATGATGATTCAGAAATTGAAATCCTTAGAGGGGCCAAGTTCAGTATTTTATTAATGTTGCTGATCACTCCACTTTGGATTTCTCACTTTATCTTAGTCTGTTTCTTGAAAGACTTGGAAGCATGCATCTTTATTCCAGCTGTTCTCACAGCTCTCTCTTCAAGCTTCTCTGCTATCAGTCCTTTCTTGCTTATGTTGGTTAATTACAAAATGAAGTTGGTGTGCTTCTGTGGTGCCAAAGAGGAAAAACCCACACCACAGCCTACAAATGTTATTCTTTCTCCATATGCTTAATGGCAAAGAATTCAAGTTTAATTGTTGGAAAACAGACCCTGTCACTGGAGAGTACAGCTAAAGTTTTCATAGCTCTCATCAACAATTTCTGAAAGGACCTGTAGAAAATTGACTCTTCTTCAAAAATAGACCAGAGAAAACTACGCAAGAAAATATATAAACATTAAGCTGTTATAAGTTGAAAAAAAGTCATCACAACATTAGTTATTTAAGACAATACCAAGAGTTCTAATGTAAAATTTCTAAAGTAACTCAATAATTTTCAGTCTGAAAATGAACTCATGTAAATGATATATTATTTACTCTGTGCAAGATATTGTGTTAAAAAACCAACATATTGATGGAACTGAAGACAATAATTCCTGGCGGAATTTTAAAGGTACACATAAGTAATCTTATGTTTTTCTTGAAATGCTTTCACACATATTAGAAGTGTATTAGGTAGGTGTACAGTGTTCCGTTTTTGCACTTTTAATAATAGTACCTCATCTATGATGGAAGCAGATTTTGTTCATTGTCTTTACCCTAAGTTAGTAAATTAGAACTAGGTGAATGCCCTGGATTAAGGAATTAGTACTTGCTACGTCATACTCTTTGTGTATGTATAGATGTGCAAATATTTGGTTGTTCAGACGTTTAACTCACTATCCTTGTTTAATCATCTAAAAATATGTTAAACTATACTGTTTTCTTCAGGAGAAAAAGGACATTTATAGGAAATTTTTCTCCTTTTGGTTATCAAATTGATACATTTACAGACTGGAAGAATTTATCAAACCTTCATAATAATTTGATCTCTGGATTTTGATTCAATAAAAATAAGCACATTATAATTTTCATTAAAAATATATGGCTGGGTTTTTCTTTTTCCCACTTAGCTGGTTTCGCTCTTTGGACTGCTTCCAATACAGTGAGTAATTATTTTCAATATCTTCACATACATTTGTGTAAGCATTGATTTTTAAGTGAATTCTTATTAGATTTTTGCTTTTTTTTTTTCATGTTTCTTCTGTGTTAATAGACCTGGGATTTATTATACTGTCGGTCTGGTGAATGGATGTCCCCAAATTGAGATCCCAGTTCTAAAAGGCTGCATTGAAAATTATAAAACTAGACCTCATTAACAGAAGACACTAAGAACATCTTGTAGCCATGAAGTGTTATAGAGAAAGGAAATTTTAAAGTAACCAAGGCCCAAATTGTTTAGAGTTGTGTGTGCCAATGTCTGTCTTTTGTATAGCACAGCAAATTTAAAAAAAAGAGAGAGAGACTTAAGACCCTCTGAGATTGCTGGGTGGTCTTCATGGGAAATGCTTAGTTGAGTCCACTGAGGCAGTTTAATCAAAAGGGCACTAGGCATGAATCCTGTATAATGAAGTTAACATCTGGAGAGATGGGGCATGTGGGGAAGAGGTCACCATGTTTTAATTAAGTGCAGATGTAGCCAAAGCTGAGATTAGCCATTAAGCTTAGGTAGTGGTTCTAAAATGTGATTCTGGGACCAACAGAATCAGCATCACCTGGGAACTTATTACAAATGCAAATTATTGGGCACCACCTCGACCTACTGAATCAGAAAGTCTGGGATTTGGACCCAGCAGTCTGTTTTAATAAGCCATCTGGATGACTCTCATGCACTCTAAAGTTTGAGAATAACTCATCTAGGATTCCTCCTAAGTTTAATCCTCATGACAATCAGAATGAAGCCAAGATAACTGACTGAAGATGTAGTCTTCAATGATCCCATACATACTGCTGTTGTGCCTGCTTCTCTCTAAAACGGCAATCAGGATTGTGATCTGTGTTCCATATATATACTCAATAATAATTTCCAAACACATCCACTGTAGAAATTAAGTAATCTTTGTAAAATCAAAAATAAAGCATAACCATTTCAGGTGTGCCAAAAATTTGGAACTTGGATTTGGATAGTTTCCTGTACATAACTGAGTAAGGGATCCAGTTCCCAGATTATTCCATAGTTCCTTTCCAGAAGCCAGTGCAAGACATGGTTGGTTGGCTTAAGCCCATGCTTAACTTCCCAGTGCTAGCATTGTTTTATTTTTCTTCCCAGATATTTTCTTCGTGTTTGGACCTCATTAGGTCATAGTTTTATCCTTGTTAAAAACACAGTATCTAAACAATTGTAGAATTGATAAGTTTTCATTTACAGCAGAGAATAAATCCTATGTTCACTGAATGAACAATATTACAGTTTTCTTTTGAGTTAGGGGGCCGTCTATTCTTTGTTCACAATGCAGGATTCTGATCTTCTCTCAGAGGACTTCTATTTGAACAATTTCTTGCTGGGGTGGGTGTGATTTCACAAAGCAGCCAATTCCATTAAAACCCATTTGAAATACTATAATTACAGAGTCTTTGCTGAGACTGACATCCCTGACATTTCCTCCAAGATTTACCCTTGAAGTTAAACCCTCCTTTTACCTGCTGGATCTTTAGATTCTTAGAGAGGAAAGCTTTTTTTTCCCTTCACCGAGTTAGATATTTCCTTAACTGTTTTGTATAAGACAGTTTCCCAACCACTGGCTCTCCTGGCTTCCCTACTCTGTCTTGGCATGTTCCAGATAACCTGTGGCTTTTTAAAGAAGTGGCACCCGGAAGTGAACACAATATATTTTTTTCTTTGTGTATGTGTATGCTTGGGTGTTTGCATATATTTTTTTCTGTTATACGTTATTTTATATTCTCTTGCACAGCTCCTATGAGCATGGATTCTTTCATTCTTCCAAAAAGAATTTTAAATGTCCAACTCATTTTAAATCACATGCACAGAGTGGGGCAGGGAGGAGACAGAGAGAAAGAGAGGGACATAGCAGATTTAAAAGTAGATAAATATGTGTATCTACCCTAGGCCTAAAAACTAAGGTCTCTCCAAACTCTCAAGTTCAGGTATACATTAGTTCATTATCAGTATTTGGGTTTCAGAAACCATCAAATGACCCCCAAATCATTTGCAATAATTTTAATGTATAACTTAAAGGGCAAAACTACAAGAAGACCAACCCTTGTAGGGATTTTTCAGAGAAATCCTGATCTATGATTGCAAATTACAAATTTATGATGCATGCCCTCTGCCTCCATCAAGTTTCTAAAACAGTGCCAACTTCCTTGCCTTTTTAATAAGACGTTAAAAAGGATGGTCATAATCTAATTTTCACTGAAGATGAAGTTGAAGATTTAAACCAACTAGCTGTGGAATATGTTGTGTTACAGACTAGTTGAGGGATGCCTGTGGGCAAGGTATGTTAGATACACAAAGATCTATATACTTTCTGTTAATGATGTTGATGATATCTGCCATTTCTGTTTAAACTCTACTGGAAAGAAGAGTAATTCATTTGGAGTTAGGTTCATGAACATTCAGGCAATACAACTCAGGACTAAGGATGTCTGTGGGATTCTGACCTAGGTGGTTCAAAGACGTACCCTTGATTCAGAGCAGTCCGGGGCAAGTCAGAAGAGCGCTAGACTGGTTAGCAGGAAATGATTTGCGTTAGCTGGCTTTGCCTCTACTTAGTAGTGCAGAACCTTGGGTGGACTATTTCTGAAGACCTACACAACCCTCCAGGGTATATGGTACCAGGGGAGACAAACAAGAAGGCATGCTATTACAATATCATGTGGTGCTGGCCAAGACAAATAAATGCACAGCAAGCTGAGGCACCCAATCTAGATGGACCCTGGAGCTAAGGGAAGTCAGCAGTAGTAATGCAGAACCTTGGATGGTCTATTTCTGAGGTTTACCATCTGTAAAATATAAAAGATACGATTGCAAATTACAAATTTTATGATGCATGCCCTCTGCCTCCATCACAGGTTGCAATAAATAAATTCAGCTAAAAAATACTGAAGGTGATTTTTAAAAATAAAATGCTTAACACAGAGGCACTGTTGCTTTACCATTTGTAGTTTTGGCAAGTTGAAGTAGGAGAGAAAAATACCAGACTTAAAATCAGAAGCCCTGGCTGTGTGAATTTGAGGCAATTACAGAACCTCTCTGAGCTTTGGTTGCCTTATCTCCACAAAGGAAAATATAAAGATGTTTGTCTCCCAGCATGTGTGTGAGGAAAAAGTAAGCAAGTGTATGTAATAGCACCCAGCCCTAAATCTTGATACAGTTTTCTTCACAAATTTTTTTGTGGGTGTTTCCTTCAGGACAGTGAGGAAGAAATGCAGACTCTCCTCTAGGAAATATATTACATTAGTCCCTTGTTTGATATCAAACATTCTCTTGTATTTTTACAAACATGCCAGAAATTTCATATTTCAAGATGTGCTCTGTGCACACTCTGGCTTTGCAATTATTCCCATGACAATCCCTATTTATCACCCCACCTCACCCTCACCCTCGCCCTTCAAGACCCCATTGTAGAAGCAAAAATAGAGCAAGTGATGCTAAATCAATGTTATACATCTTTCTGGACATTCTGCTCCATAATTCTCACTTCTAGGCCTATCCCCATTCTAAAAACACAGACAACTGGAACACTTCCTCCTGCCCCCAAAACTCCCTCCCCATTTACACCTTTATCCTTCGGCTTTCAGCTTTGCCATGCTGACTGCCCTTAGCTCCAGGGTCTATGTGGATTGGGTGCCTCAGCCTGCTGTGTATTTATTTGTCTTGGCCAGCACCACATGATATTGTAATCACGTGCCTTCTTGTTTGTCTCCCCTGGTACCATATACCCCAGGAGAGTAGTACAGGTCTTATCCACCACATGCATCCAGAATAGTCCATAAATGAAGAAGTGAATAAAGTCCACAGGGCTTGTGCTTTTTCTTTGTTCTTTGTGTGTATTGCTTGGCTCTCCTTCAGTTGCCTCTTTCCAGTAGAAATTTCTTGCCTCTATCATTTTTCTGCTTCAAGATGAGGCATTTACTGACTGCCATGCTTCTGGCCGCTGTTGAATCAAGGAGTGAACGAAACCTAATCCAACATTTGGAACTAGTTGCTTCCTTGCCAGCCAAGCTACAGAGCC